AGTCATTACTGTGCAATATTTGCCTGCTTGAGTCAGAATCTCTCCGGACGCATCATTCCCAATCGTTGTAACACGTCTTTTGACACTATATAACTTCTGAGGGCACATCTGATTAACCGACTCAATGTGCCACTGTCTTCGAGAAAATATTAGTTAATCGGTCACAGGTATAAGGGCCCTGTGATCCCGTATCAATCTCTCCACATCCCAGCATAGCCATGTCAGCCCTGAAGATAGAGACAGCGTTTCTCTTAAAAATTGCAATCTACCTACAGGTCTACAGGTTGTCACAACATTGCGATATACACGTGATTCTAACTCTTGAACTAACTTACACTTTACTTACTTAATAATAAATGTTGTTATACATATAAATCGCTGCACACTTTCCACTTTGATATTTGGTTATGAAACTGTGTCTGTCAAGACAAATACAATAACCTCTTCAGAAGTTACTAAGTCAGGCTTACACATTTACCTACATGCTTTGCCTTGGATTTTTAACTTAGTTTAACAAAAATTGGAATAAAAAACCTATAATAATGTATGGAACACCAAACAGGCAGTTCACACTAAAAACTTCTCTTCCTCACAATGCAAATGCAAAATCAGCATCAGAATTTGTTTAACTTCTGCTTAAACAAAAATGCCCAATTATGTTACAGTTCTCAGAGCAAAGCAGTTCACATGCTCCTTGTGTCGTGATTAGTAAAATTGCTGTAATGTATTACATACTATATCAAAATATTACCCTTTTAGTCTACATCATATTAGTGAGTTCCAACCATAACTGTAATGCACCTTTTCAATGCAGCCTCATTAAAATTACATCCTAATTTATTTCAGCATTCAAAATCGTGTACAGTTTCCACTGCAGAGCAGTCTTTGAAATATACAAGTTCTTTTAGGCGAAGATCTCATAACCTTACAACAGATTTAGAGGATGACCCATTGTCAGTTTTCTGTGACTGATTAGCATTTTCCACTTTGAATGTGAGTTAAATTTTCGCTCACTAATATTGATTCTGGCATAACAGATCAAGTATGACCACATCTTTCAAATATAAAACAAACTTAAAAATGCCAAACAGTAGCATAGTACAGGACCCAAAAAATCCGGTACCTATTGCAGAGGAGGCTGGGTGGGCCCCAGAGCCGGTCTGGACACAGAGACCAGAGGAAAAATCCTCGGTCCCCGTCGGGGATCGAACCCCGATCGCCCAGCCTGCAGCTAGTCACTGTACTGACTGAGCTATCCCAGCTCACGATATTGCAAAGTAACAAAGCAAAACTGTAGTCAAGTATCTTAAAAATAGCTAATTTTGTTAAGACCACAAAGCTCAACCTCATTGACACAATGCACAATGATGGATGGCACCATGAGGAGTGTAATCAGCGATGGTGCCCGTCACACCTCCACGACGAGTCGGGGTATTATCCACTGACACACATGGCAGAGGCACCTGTTCTTTGCATTGCGGGTGACAACGCTCTACAGTCTTGACATTTCATTGCCACATTCCCAAATTTAATCCTGAAATAATGCACATACAAATCTGCACTACAGAACACTTTGGTGAAAATTTATCATACAACTCTGGAAAAGAAAACAAATTAGGAATGTTTCAAAATGAAGTTCAGAACCCGAATAACTTGACCTAAGAGAGATAAAGTGACGACTGAGAACAGAAAACTGCGTAATAAAGATTCAGAATTATTTATTTTCAACTGGTACTGGTACTGTTGCAGTGACTGAATAGAAATCTGATTGGTTGTTGGATGTAATAAATACTGACACTTCAAGATATGGCTCACTTCAGTTCAAAAGAATTGAGTGGATCAGAAGAAATCGGTAATTTTCATTCTGTACTTTTGTGCGCAAGACAAAATTCACAGTTAGCGGATTTACTTCCACGTACAATTGAACAGCACTCCACCAGTGTTAGAGCTGGATGTCAGAGGGTTTAACCGATTTCGGCACCAACCAGATTCCTCTGATTCAGACGAGTGCGTAACATTTTTTTTCCAACAGCTATAATGAAATGTCAATCAAGCCACTGCTGAAATTATAGTGATCCAGAAATCAATCTTTTAACATTCCTTTCATACATTTACAAATGATTTCTCTTTTTATTACTATTGGGTGGAGGGAGGGGGCAAAGAGACACAATTAAACAAGGATAAGACAAGAAAAGTTATGAAAAATGTACACAAAGTTTGCCTGGAAAACCTGAAGGTAATAACAGGACACTTATATCCACTCTTATGTCACAGAATTATTTATTTCATCTCACATACCCCATAATCTATGTCTTTCAATAGAAATGAGATACCGAGTCTGGCACCCATAAAATCGACCTTTTAAAGACAGTTTACAGAATTACTTTTGCATACCTGTACTTGTTTGAGGAGCAGACGGTCGTAATGTTGCCCATGGAATGCCGCTATCATGGATTCCGACCTTCCGGGGTTCACCGGTAGGAGATTCCTCCGACTTGGTGGGTCCACCTTCCTTTCCTACAGTCTCCACCCCAACCAGCTAGCAGAGCAGAAAAGTACACGCTAATGATGTTCCATACAGGGGTTTTTACAAGAAACCTTTAATGTTTTATCAAATGCTTTGTACTAATGCAGTCCTTGTTCTGTAACGACTGACTAAAGCCCAATGGTAACTACATGTACTATCTGCTTTAATATTAAGAAATTGCAGTTTGCTCACAGAGTGTATTTATAGGTTTCACATTATTTTAACAGTAAACAAGAGATTATTTCCTCCAAAAAGCATTGACTAACTAATTTGTAAACTTATTTTCCAGGTTATGTACATTCACATGTGAAACACGTCCTTGTAATTGTGTCGAAAGTACTGAGGTTCATGTATGTTGTATGAAATGACATGTTCTACATCATTTGGTTTAGTCGTAATAAGGATCTATGGAATGTAAATAAACTCTAATCCCTAACATACCTGAATACTGCACTTCCTTATCCAAGTCACAAACACTCCAGGTGCTTCGTTCTGTCTGGTTCTTCACAACTCCAACTCCAAAAAAGCTGCTTCCCCATCACGCACACAACTGATCTTCTGAAACACTGATATTCAGACAAATTGGTCTGCCATGTCTTCGTTGTTACCAGTCCACACACACTACAGATACAGTTCATATGAAATTTGCCACTAAGCACATCCCCTGATCTCAAACTCCTCTTTGAGACAGACAAGGCACTCACACTGAATCTATAACAGTACACCTCCTCGGAAAGCAAGGAGATCACACGAGGGCCTAAGGTCTTCCTTGTGGCATCGTGAGCCATGCTACAAACACCCGATACTTTGTCACTAGGAATCTAAAGTGTGTACCTGTTGGTGTGGTGACCACGTAAAATGTGCTAAAAATAAACACACCCTAGCCTAGGTTGGGAATTGCATTTTTTACTAACTTTTCACGTTATCATCATTATATTTTTATTGTATATAATGTATAGAAAATTATGCAGATAAAAGTGTATATATATATATATACACACACACACGTATTGAGCTTCACGTTGCCTGCATACAGACCAAATTTTGCCAAAGTTGCCCACACCCTGAAGAATGTTTGGCAAGTCTCGTGTAATACGTAGTTCCCTTTGTTGGTCTTCCATCATCAGGCCATCTAACCTCCCGTATTCCTTCAATGTCCAAACTATACTCCCCCACCTCAACTGCTAATGTATCCAGCGCCTCTGTTCTATGTGTTACAAAAACCCACTCACCTAATGTTGAGATTTCTTCATCTATCTCAGCATCCAACTCTGTATCAGATGCTTTGGTTCTGTCCTTATCTTTTAAAAAATTAACAGATTCTCCCTCTGAAATGATACAGGATTTCGGTATGTAGTACATTTTCAATAAATAAATAAATATAAATAAATGAAAATCTGAAACGCAAGCACATATACCTATATTAATTCTAAATTTTAAAGTTGACGAAACATATCCGCCATGTTGTGACGTCACAGTCAACGCCCAGTGAACGCGAATGCATGATCAGCACACAATGGAATAAAATTTTCTAGGCTTTGAAGACTTTCGATTTGTTTGCTACAGTCCAGCAAAAGAAGAGAACATAATTTATGATGGCCAGCGTCCATATTCCTGCGATTTGTGTAACAAGTCATTCATCGATCAGCATAACCTGAAGACCCATCAGCGTACGCACAGTGGTAAAAAGCTATATTCCTGTGATGTAACAAATCATTCAGTTTTCAGGGTAATCTGAAAACAACATCTGCTCATCCACAGTGGATCATGTTAAAACCTCTATATAATATTAAAGAATAACTACAGAATAAACTTTATATACTATAATCAATAAACTGAATGTTTATTTAAATTCTCATTCATCAAAACCAAAAGCAGATAAAATATTTTCAGACACACTGTGACCAAGAGATGGACTTTCATCATCTGAGCTTGAACTGTCATTCAGTTCAAGAGGAGGTTCACCATCATCAGTCTCTTTGTTATTCCCATAGAAACTCTTGCAGTCATATCTTAACTCTACTGCAGCAGTGTTACATGAAGGATTTGGGTCACTAAAGTTGCCAATTATTTCGTATGTTTTAGACACTTCAATTTCCTTTTTAAGAATTAATTCTTTTAGATCGGTAGATGTGTTATGTTCAGATATTTGTCCAACTTCTATAACAGCAAACTGTGAAGATCTACCCACTATTTTCAAACCGCTGTCAGCATGTGAAATCTGTCTGTTAGTTGGATCTAGAATTACATATTCAGAATCACGCCATGCAGTTACAGTGATCTCTTCTGTTTTGTCGATTCTGTCCATCATCTGAAGGCAGAGTGAAGGTGGGTTATCACTTGAGGTTGCATGCATTTTCACACAGTAACCAGGATCGGACACTTTACGTGGGGAATCATTCAATTTATCAACTGATTCTGCTTGAAGCTGAGTTAGACGGAGACATGCAGTTGGATCGCTACTAGTAACTGCACTCACCCTGATAATTTCTTCATCTGATAATCGTTGAGATCGTGGTTGCTCAACATTTTCCAGTGATAATCTAGCAATTTTTTTGTTAGAGATAATTGTCAAAGTAGCACCTCCCTGAACATCATGCAACATCTTCCTTGTGTCTCCTTGGACATTAGTTGATTTAACAGTTGACTCAGAATCAGTCTCTGGTGCAGACTCCTCAGCGATTTCCAACATTTCAACGGAATGGGGGCCAAACTCTTACCATTGTTTCTATGCTTCTGCTGGGGTAGACCACATGCTTAATGGGTTCCAAAGAAGAGACTACTGACTTTAAAATTCCCTTTATCTCCACTACTTGGCAAGGATCTGCCTCTGGTTTGGAGCCTACATGCTCCACCTTGGCATTACTGGTCACAAGTGTGTTCGTTGACACTTGAGAGAAGAGTATACTGTCCTTTGCCAAGCAAAATGTATCCATTTCATCTGCATCTTGAGAAGAATGTGCAGGAGATTCTAATGTTTTCACAATATCCCCTTGGTTTCGATCAGCAATAACTTCAGTTTCAGTTGCTATGCTACTTTTATCTTTTTCTTCTCCTTTATTTATAATTATTCCATCTGTTTCAGGTAATTTCACTGTTCTTATTTCATCTTGTACTGCACTCACAAAATATCTATGCTGAGTATCGTCATAAATGACAATTTCCGGATACTGCCTTACTTCTGCTGGTGGTTCAGATTCCATTCGCTCCTCAGGTTTTTCTGGTGTGTTCCCTACAAGAGGTCTACTTGCTCCTTCACCCTGAATTTTTCTAACTTCATCTTCGTCTAATAAATCTTCAAATACAGGATTCAGATAGCCCATACATTCCTGTTCTACAGCATCATGTTCAATAAATTCTAACATAAACTAGAAACGTAGAGAAACAGGACATATTTATAAGCATAAAAATTCAAAATAGCATACACAATCTGCATAACACCTTTAATCTACCAAGATCCTAACGACGCATAATAAAACAGCAAGATTTTTGAAGTTACAGACCAAACTACTTGAGGTCTTAACAATGCTAGTACCTGGAAATGTCATTAAATTCAAGAAAGCTAGATGTTACATACCATAAGTTTATATTTCAACTTATATAATTTGTACATAAGCTCAAATTATCTCTATCAAAATATCTCTTATGACAAACATAGTTCATACAAAGCCCATGCAATGGATCCACACATGTAAATGAATTAATGCTCAATCATATCTTTGTTGTAACAATTACTATACATTTAGTATTTACTGCCTTAAGATCACCTGGTATAGTAAAATTTCATAAATGTCTGACTGAATAAAGCTGTGCAAACAGTTTATCATTAATAGTTTTGATATTTTAATATTTTCCGTCAAATCACAATTTTAATAAGATAATAAAATATAAAATATTTAAAATATCATTTC